GGTCACTATAGGGTGGTCGCAGGGCCTACAGAAGTCAGGAAAAGCTTCAGAAATGAACTTGAGGTGAGTTTGAAAAACACATTGGCGTTTATCAGGTAGACGTGGGTTTAATGTGGTTGTATATCTACTCTTGAAGGAGCTCTGGTAGCGTAGTGGTTACGAATCGGGCTGCGAACCGGAAGGTCAGCAGTTCGAAACTACCAGCTGCTCCGCGGGAGAAAGATGAGGCGATCTGCTCCCGTAAAGATTTACAGCCTCGGAAACCCTATTCAGGGTCGCTGTGGGTCGGAACCGACTCGACGGCACTTAACAACAACAACAACAACCTACTCTTGTTGTTAAGTGCCATCAAGTCAGTTGCAACTACAGCGACAGGGTATAGGGTTTCCGAAGAGCCGTTGGTGGGTTTAAACTGCTGACCTTGTGGTTCACAGTCCAGTGCTGATCCTACAGCGCCATACCGGAGTCCATACCTATTAGCAACTTTATCTTTTTTAATTTAATGTACTTTCAAGTCTGAATTGACAGCAGTAAGTGTGGTATATATATGCCAGACAATCTAAGTTCTTTACATAACACACTGCCTTCGAGTTCACTCCAACTCATAGCAACACTATAGGCCACAGCTGAACTGCTCCTGAGAATGTCTGTGGAGTGGTTGGTGGGTTTGAACTATGAACCTTAGGTAAGCAGCCAGAACGTTTACGCATTTGTTGTTGTTGTTAGGTACCATGGAGTCAGTACCGACTCATAGCTACCCTGTGTACAACATAACAATACACTGCTAGGGTGCCATGCCAACCTCACAATCGTTGCCACGCCTAAGCCCATTGCTGCCGCCACTGTGCTAATCCATCTCTTTGGGGTCTTTACCAAACATGATATTTTTCTCCATGGACTGGTCCCTCCTCACAGTAGGTCTGAAGTATGAGAGATGAAGTTTGGCCATCCTGGCTTCCAAGGAATGTCTGGTTGTACTTCTTCCAACACAGATCTGTTTACTCCATCACTATTGTTGTTAAGTGCCCCCCTTCCCCATCAGTTCCAACTCATAGTGACTCTGTATAGGATTTCTGAGGAGAGGCTGATAAGTTTGAATAGTTAACCGGTTAGCAGTAAGGTGTTTACCCTACAGTGCCACACTAGGATTCCTTTTCTACACCAGGGCTGTACTTACTTCATCAGGACGCCTGAAAAGACAGGCATTCTTCATTGTCAGTAAGAACTTTAGAGACAACAACACCTTAATTTCCATTTTTTCTGGAAGAGAAAGTTGAAACCCAGAGGTAAAGGGGCTTACCCCAAAGTACACAACAGACACTGGGCCTTGCCTCCACAATGTCACAGAAACCCGTTTTCCTGAGGACCAGATTTATTTTCCCAAGGACTTGATTTTGAGTCTTGAGTTTTTTTTCTTCAAGAGCAAAATATTGTATATAAATATTCATAGAAGTTTCCACCTAGGCAAAAATCCTATAGCACTTATCAACCAACAACATCATCAGTTTTACATTCAGTTAATCCTATACTTTGTAGGGTTTCTAAGGCTTAAAATCTTTGCAGGAGCAGAAAGGTTCATCTTTCTCCCACAGATCACATGGTAGATTCGAACTGCTGACCTTGTGGATAGCAGCCCAATGAGTAACCTACTACATTACAAGGATTGCAATCCCCTCCATGAACCATCAGTTAACAGTACTTACCTCAATTCATTTTAATGTCAGAAATGATATTTTGAGGCACAGAAAAGCCAAGAATTGGTTTGATTTGGCACAAGAAAACCAGAATTGCTTTAATTTATGCTAATTCTAAAACAAAAACAATTCGATTTAATACTGGATGCTCCTTTTTAAAAAAACAAACAGTTCTGAAAGAATTTTCATTTAAATGTCTATGAGAACTTCATCAAGATTTTATTGTTATAAAATAAACTATTTGATGGTAGCCTTTCATATTATTTCTCTAAAATTCCCACGTTGTTGTTAGGTATCATGGAGTTTTGGTCAGGACTTGTGAATCTTTGTTGTTCTGTGGGTAGGTGCCAATGAGTCTGTTCTGACTCATAGTGACCCTACGCATAACATACTGAAGCCCTGCCCGGTCCTGCGCCATCCTCACAATTGTGATTACGCATGAGCCCATTGCTGCTGCCGCTGTGTCAGCCCATCTCATTGGAGGTCTTCCGCTTTTTCTCTGGCCCTTCATTTTACCAAGCATGATGTCTTTCTCTAGGGACTGATCCCTCCTGATAACATGTCCAAAGCGTAAGAGACCAGGTCTCATCACCCTGACTTCTGAGGAGCATTCTGGTTGCGCTTCTTCCAAGAAAGATTTGTTTGTTCTTCTGACAGTCCATGATGCTTTTAGGATTCTTCATCAACATCATCAAATATATCGCTTCTTCTACAGGCTTCCTTATTCATTGTCCAAGTTTCATGTGTATATGTTGTTGTTGTTGTTAAGTACCATGGAGTCGGTTCCGACTCATAGTGACCCTGTACAAGGTTTCCAAGGCTGTAAACCTTTACGGGAGCAGAAAGCCTCATCTTTCTCTCGCAGAACAGCTGGTAGTTTCAAACTGCTGACTGTGAGATTAGCAGCTTGATTCATAACCACTACTCATATGCATATGAGTGGATTGAAAATGCTATGGCACACCTTAGTCCTTAAACTGGTATCTTTGCACTTGAACACTTATTTTAAAGAGGTGTTTTATGTCAGATTTGTCTAATGCAATATGCTGTCTGATTTTTGACTGCTGCTTCCATGAAGATTATCCAAGCAAAATGAAGTCTTTGGCAATTTCATCTTTTCTCCATGTATCATAATGTTATTTATGAGTCTACTTATGAGGATTTTTTTTTTTTTTTTACAGTGAGGTGCAGTGTATACTGAAGGCCTGCTTTTGATCTTTATCACTAAATATTTCAATTTCCCTTCCCTTCCAGCAAGCAAGGTTGTACCATCTGCATATTGCAGGTTATTAATGAGTCTTCCTTCAATCCTGATGCCATGTTCTTTTTCAAATAAGCTAGTTTCTTCCATTATTTTCTCAGCATATAGACTGAATAAGTATAATGAAAGGATACAACCCAAACGTATACCTTTCCTAACTTTAAACCATTCCATATCCTCTTGGTCTGTTCTAACTACTGTCTCTTGGTCTGTGTTCAGGTTCCTCATGAACACAGTAAGTGTTCTGGAATACCCATTCTTCACAACATAGGTTGTCATGATCTACTGTCATGATTGCGTATTAACTACGCAAATCCAAAGCCTTTGTGTAGTTAATAAATCACAAATAAACATCTTTCTGGTGTGACTCTGTAGGATCAGCACTAGACTGTGAACCACTGGGTCAGCCGTTCAAACCCACCAGCTGCTCCTTGGAAACCCTATACAGGATTCCTACGAGTCAGAACTAACTCCATGGCACTTAACAAGAACAACAAAATATCTTTGTTGTATCCTCTGCTTTCAACTAAGATCCACCTGACATTAGCAATGACATCACAAGTTTCATGTCCTCTTTTGGCTTCAATTTCTGACAGCAATCTGCTGGTGTGTTATTGCAGTCATTTTAACGGCGTAGGAAACCTCATGTCTCTGGAGGAAAGTTTGGTGGATTTGAACTGCTGACCTTGTTGTTAGCAGCTCAACGTGTAATTCAGAACACCATCAAGCCTCCAAAATTCCCAGAGTTCATATGTTCTTACACTTTTAAAACAGATGCTGTTTGCTGAAAATTCGAGGAATTTCAGTAAAGACTCAAAGAATAAATCTGCCGCTATTTTCCATCACCCAAGAGATCATTACCATTTATACTTTGATGTGCGTCTCCCACACTATTTTTTAAAAGCATATGAATGAATCATAGCATAAATTTGCACTTTTGAAAAGATGGCCTTTATTTCGCGCATTCCATTAGCTGCACATCAGGAAGTGGTTCTGGAACGTTTGGGGCACAAGTCCTGGTGTCCAAGGGTTGGTTTTACTCCTGTTGTGTTTGGTGTTAACAGAATTAGACTTTGTCTGCCGCAGGACGTGAGTCCCTGGGGTTGGTTCACTGAAACAGTCAAAACAAGTCTTGCCCGAACCCTGGGGAAGTGGGCAGTTTAAAAATACCATGGGTTTCCCTGAGCTCCGCACTGCAAAGCCTTGGGCACTGGGTGCCTTAGCCTGGGGTGAACTTCTAGCGGGTGGAGTGGAGATTGGAGGTGGGGGCGGCGGTTGCTAGGCAACATAGTCACGCTCCTCCCTGACCTGGGCGTGGCTGGGGCGGTCCGGATACAGGACTGGGGGCGTTCCTGGGCTGGCCTGGGGCGGGGCTAGAGCTGGCATCGGTTGAGCTCTTCGCTGTGCACAGCGCCGCCCCGCGGGTCCCAGGGCGCAGGCTCCTCTGGGGTCCCCAGCGTGCTTTTCACTCCCGCGGGGATTAGGAGACCTACTTCGGGTCTCAGGAGCATGGAGAGGACCTGCTTCGGGTTTTAGGGGTGCCTTTGATCTATCTGGAGAGGCTGCCGTTGGATTGGAGCTACAGCTTCCCCGGGCGGTGTGTGCCGAGGTCCCCTGACTCGGCGTCAAGGTGAGTGCACCGGGGGACCCATTCTCCTCTGGATCTACGCAGTGGAGGGCGCGGGAAGGGCAGACCGGTGCGTCTGCTCCCTGTGTGAGTTCTCGGGGTCCTTCCCCTCCAGCCTAGGGCCAGAGCAGGACCCTCCGGGGAAGCCTGGAGCCACACAAGCTTGGAGGACTGTGTGGATTGTGAACGCTTTGTCCCCTCCTCCCCATTGCCGCTTGGAATCCCGACTGGCGCCTGCCCACCTGTTGGTGGCGTGAGGTGCTCTGACTCGGCCCCAGTCTCCCCTCTGCCTTGCCAGGCAATATCGCCCCGGGGAAGGGCGTATATAAAATGTCCTGTGAAAAGGCAGCTTTCAGCAGGAAATGTACCGGGATTACGCGGAAACTTTATCCTGCCCTGCGAATTGGAACTCCCGGAGATGCAGGCGCTGCGCCAGAAGGCGGACAAAGGTTCGAGGTGGCCGGGTCTTCTAACCCTTTCGCTCCCTAGGGCTTTGTGAATGATGCAGCCTGTCCTGTGGGGATGCAGATGGCATTGCTGAGTTGAGAGACAGAGAGAAAAGATGTGCTTGAAAATTTCGCCGCTCTTCCCAACTGGGTACCATTTCAGGAAAAAGACATTTTCCTGAATGTTGCTCGTCTCCTGATTTGAGGGAATAAGTGGCCATAATTGGTCTGCTTGCGTTGATATTCTTGAGATCGGGAAGTTGGTTTGCCAGCGTCAGGAAGGGTTAAGCCCCCACGCTGCTGCCAAAGTCAGGCGAACTCAGGTGACTAGTGCTGCGGGTCCCCATCCGTCTGTGCAGATCTCACCTCCTCCAAGGGCAAAACCAAAGTAAAAACAAAGCAAAGGCCCCCAAATGAGCCAACTAAAGCAAGCAAGCAAAACTCTCTGTTAAGTTGCCGCCTAGCATTTGGCAACCGTGTTGATAAACAGATGAATTGTTTGAATTTATTCAACCCTTGGCTGTCAAGACTTGGCCACTCTTAAGCCTTATCCATCTCCCAGCCTCCAAGGTTTTCTCTGCAGGCGCATCTTCTTTTCTGTGTTGTCTAGGCATCTTCTTTCCCGACTAACCCCTCCAAGTTTTTCAGGTTAGCTGTTGTCCTTGATAACACTTGTTACCAACCACATCCAAACTCCGCTGGCGCTGAGTCAATGCTGTCTCTTAGAGACCCTCTAAGACGGAGTAGCACAGCTCTTTTGGGTTTCTGAGACTAAATCTTTACATAGGCAGACTCATGTAATAGCACATTCTGCAGCTGCTGGTGGGTTTGAACTGCTGAACTTGTGGTTCACAGCCTGATGCTAATCCACTGTGTCACCAGAGCATCGTCACTTGCAGCGAAACATAGGCTGGTTAATTCAACTCCCGCTTTATTTTTCTACCTTTTTCTTCAGCCCCCAGCCCCTTAGGCTTACTCTCTGCAATGTTCCTAGGCTGCCTATTAATTAGGTACCCTCTGAGTGCTGGGCTCTTTGCCTTTTGGGGATTGACACCCTGGCCTGTTTTCAGTGTCTCCCCATTGCCATCAGGTAGTTTCATGGGGCTGTTTCTTATTATCTTTTTTTTCCATTTTCATCGACCTCCTTTGGCCATTCTCCTAGCTCCGCCCAGTTTGATTATCTTGTTTGTGCTTCTGTATTTGTGTGTTTCTTCATTCCTCCCCCGCTGCTGCTCCCACACTGTCCTGCTGTCCTCCCTTCCATGTTGCCTCTGTAACAAGTGTTTTTTCCCCCAGCCTGCAGCTGTGTGCTACAGTGACCCCCTCCAGTTCCTGCTGTTGGCTTTTGTGATTTTCAGCCTCCAGCCAGGAGTGCCCCTAGGTCCTCCATTCCCTGTATTTTTGAAGGTGTCTGGTTTGGATGGAAATGTCAGGAAGGAGTAGGGAGAGTGCTGAACCCTTTTGCTTTGAGACAGTTCCCACTCACAGGGACCCTATTTTGTTGTTGTTGTTATGTGCCGTTGAGTCGATTCTGACCCATAGTGACCTCGTATAGGGTTTCCAAGGAGCAGCTGGTAAGCTTGAACCACCGACCTTGCAGTTCAAACGACTAGCAGTCTGACGCATTAGCCCACAGCGCCACACCAGGACTAGGACAGGGCAAACTATAACCTAGGGTTTCTGAGACGGCAAATCTTACAAGAGTAGGCTACTTCATTGAACCACTGACCTTGCAGTTAGCTGCCTAGTACTTAACCCACTACACCACCAGAGCCCCTTAGCAGGGGTCCAGTTGCTGCACTTTCCCTAAGAGTGTAGGACTTTGCTATCTGCCATGGTTTCTGTGTGTTTTTATTTTATTGGAATGTTGAATGCATCCTTCTTGTCTAACACCAGGATTGTTAGTAATCCAGATATTACCAGTGACTGTGACATAGATTCTGACTCACAGTGACCTCATGTGTGTTAGAATGGAACTGTGATCCACAGCATTTTCAGTGGCTGATTTTTTAGAACGAGATTGCCAGACCTTTCTTCTGAAGCACTTTCGGCTGGATTCAACCTTTAATCCTTTTTTTTAAAATGTTTTATTGCAATTATGTGATAGTTTACATGGGAAAACATTAGTTTTACATTCATCCTATTGTATATCATTTCATTGCTATTCAACCTTTAATCTTGAAACTGAGTGAGTTCACTGTAGGAACTATGCAGGGACTCTTGAGCAATATTTATTGACCATTTCGTATGTGCCAAACACTGCCTTGAAGGTTTTTCATGCAGTAACTCATTTAATCCTACTATCATCCTCTGTCATAGTTCTCTTGAGCTGCTCTATCAGAAATACCACAAGGGGATGCCTTTAACAAACAGAATTTTATTCTCTCTCAGTTTAGGAGGCTACAAGTACAAATACCAGAAGTGTTGGCTCTTCAGGGAGACTTTCTCTCATTGTCAGTGCTGGGGAAGAGTTTTTGTCTCCTTTCAGCATCTGTAGACTCAGCATTCCTTGGAGATTTGCATGCATTTTGGTGTCAGTCTTCTCCTGGATCTACGAGCTTCACAGCACAGGGACCTCAGGGCTACTGCACTCGTAGCTCTTCTTTCTTGGTGGTTGTAGGGCCCTCTTCTCTCTGCTTTTCCCTCTTGTAAGATCAAAGGCATGGCATGGCATGGCATGGCATGGCATGGCATGGCATGGCACATCCCGAGAGTCTCCCTTATATTTGATTAGGGTCATGCTGGAATTAAGCGTGGTAATCCTGTTAACGGTTATTCACATCAGATGGAAAATCATCAGGGATCATCACATAACCTCTAAACCAGAGAATCATGGCCCAGCAAGCTGACAAGTATTTTAGGGGCCATGGTTCAATTCATGGCACATCCCTGTATACCTAAACACCGTGATTGTCCCCATTGTGCAGATGGAAAAAACAGAGGCTAGGTGAAGCTAAATGACATACCAAAGCTCTCGTAGGTATAATATGGTGGCACCCTTTCTACAAAGTCCTGGAGCTTTTACTTCCTCTTGTGTTCAGAGCTGGGCTCGAATTCAACTTTGGGAATGAGGTCATTATTTGACACGTTGTATTCCGTCTGTAGTTGACACCATTTGAAGGCATACATTCAGTACTTATAGAAAAGTGTCCTGGGAAAGTCTACTGCTGGATGACTCAGAGAACCTGGGCTGACTGCCACCTAGTCCAAACTTTCACCTGCTTTCTTGAAGAAGCTACAATGGGCCTCCTCTGTACTCAAAAACACCCAACCAGGGGCCATCAGGTCCACTCTGACTCTGGCGGCCCCGTGTGTGTGACCGAGTGGGGCGGGTCCCCGTGTGTGTGACTGAGTGGGGCGGCGCTCCGTAGGGCGTTCGGTGGTTGGTTGTTGTTTCATCGTACACCATCAGGCCTTTTTTCCAAGGAGCCTCTGGGTACATTCAAGCCTCCAACCTTTTGATTCTCAGCCAAGCAGCTGTTTGCATACCCAGGGATTCCTCATACATTCAAAGCCCATTGTCCCTGAGTTGATTCTGACTCAGTGACACCCTGTAAGACAGAGGAGAATTGCTCCATAGGCTTTCCCAGGCTACATTCTGTTATGGAAGCAGATTGCCACATCTTTCTCCCAGGGATAATGCAATCCTGGGGCTATTACAGCCACAGGAAGCAGGTAACAAAACTTTATTTAAAAAAACACGATTGTCCCTACCATTTTCTATGCCTTAAACGTTCAGTTTCACTTTGGCCATGCAAACCTTTAGGGTCCTGGTATCTCTGGGATTTTATGAGTCTTGTTTATAGTTCTGTTTGATTATTTTATCTTCGAACCTTGTTCAGTTCCTTGTTAGTCTTTACCTTCCCCAAAGTTGGAAGCTAGTATTCCTGCTTTCACAAGTACTGAAGTGTATAGGCTTTGATGTCACAGGGAGGGAGCGCCCGTTTTAAGGATGAGGAAATGAAGCGGAGCAGCCTCAAAGCCCAGTTCTTCCGACTCAACACGATGGAGTGATTCCTGGCCACCTACCCTAGCTCCGTGGTTGACCTGCACGCTGCTTGAAAACAATGAACTTGGCTCCTTCCTTTCCTGCAGAAAGAGCCACTGAAAGACGCCTCACATTTGACGTTTTCAGTGGTTGGTTGTTTGTGGAAAGCGTGCCGTTTGGAAAATGTTCCTTTTTGAGGCATGTTATGGTATAAATGGGGGCATATGAAATGGCAAAAGTATACATGTCCTTGTTTTAGAAGCAAATATTTGCATTACCAAAACAAAAGGAAAGAACCCTAAAACATACCTCATCTTCTAGCCGCATGCCATATAATACTGGTAATTTGAAAATCAGTTACTGGGCTGTATCTGTATTTTCCGTTTGGAGAAAGAAATGCATTCGTTTGTGTAAAGTGCTTACACGGTTTTCTTCGTCTCTGGCATCAGAGCGTATGCATCCATGGAGAGAGAGCGAGAACGCTGGGGATGCTCCATTAGAAGGGGCCCGTTGATTGCTCTGGCTGCCTCTTCCTCTAACCCCACTTGGTGCCCCTCCTGATTCCCTTGTCTACTTCCTTCCTCCAAATGGCCTGTCCTAGGCAGCCACCATTGAGTCGGTTCTGACTCATAGCCACCCTGACTAAGTGGTCCTGCGCCACCCTCACACGTGTTGGTACATTTAAGCCCATTGTTGCTGCCACTGTGTCCGTCCGTTTCATTGGGGGTCTTTCCACTTTACCAAACGTGACATCCTTCTTCAGGGACTGGTCCCTCCTGATAACACGTGCTAAGTACACCATCTTTGCTTCAGTTTAATCCCTCTTACCCGAGCCCTGGTACCATAGTGGTTACGAATCGGGTTGCGAACCTCAGGGTCAGCAGTTCGAAACTACCAGCTGTTCCGTGGGAGAAAGATGAGGCTTTCTGCTCCCGTAAAGATTTACAGCCTCGGAAACCCTGTCTCCAGGGTCGCTATGAGTCAGAACCGACTCCATGGCACATAACAACAACAACAAACCAAGCCCTGATATGGTGTTGTGGATTAATGTGCTAGACTGCAAAGTTGGTTTGAGCCGCAAGGTCGGCAGTTCAAGCTCACCAGCCAGCCGCTCCTCAGAAACCCTATACAGGGTCGCTGTGAGTCCGAACAGACTCGATGGCACTGCACCACAACAACCTGAACCCCCTCAAGTATGTAGTTGGTTTTATCCACCTATGATGCTTAACTCATCTCATCTCAGCCCTCCTTGCCCTTAAGTAAGGAACCCTGGTGGCACTGTGGATTAAGTGTAGGGCTGCTAACTTCAGGGTTGATGGTTCAAACCCACCTGTCACTCCACAGGAGAACGATGAGACTGTCTGCTTCTGTAAAGATTTACAGTCTCGGAAACCCTGTGG